AAGCAGAGAGACAGTTGGCTGCCGAAAAATGGCCCATAGAGAACACATATTTTGCAAAAATATGACAAAAGGCTGATTCTTTCCATTTGCAATGACATGCTACCAATCAACAAAGAAAAGACCCGTAGAAAAACGGGCAAAGAACATGAGCAACCAGTTCATAGACGAGGAAATACCAATGGCCTTTAAACACGTCGAGAAGAGTCCCAACCTCATCCGTAACGAGAGAAACAAAAGTCAAGTCTGTAATCAGACGATGCCATGTTTCTCGCCCATCCGTTGGCAAAGGTTAGCGTTTTGATAATGTGCTCTGTTGGGGAGGATGAGGGGATCTGGTCCTCTCACACGTCGTTGGTGGGACCGAAGATTGGCCCAGCCTCTTGGGAGGACACTTTGGCAATTTATCGATTGCAATTTGAAATGCGTGTCTCCTTTGACCTGGTAGTTGGCTCTCTCGGGTCTAGTCAGACGAGTACATGAAGGTGCACATACAGGAACAGTCCCTTTATGTGGTAACGGAGAACGGGAAACAGTGTGAATCGACTGGGGACCAGTTAAGCAAACTAAAGTATTCTAAGTAATTATAATGCATCGTATAAAGGAATGCCACGGCGCCATTAAGAAGCTGAGGCCAGCCTATCTGTACGTCTCATGCAACAATGTCCAAGAAATATGTCAAGTGATAAAAGCAGAGTGTAAAAGAGAGGAAAAGGGGTATACACACAGATATAAGAATTCTTGTATATGCACAGACTGTCTTTGAAAGAACATACAGGGGCGCCGGGGTGGTCCAGTCGGTGGTGCGTCCCAGTCTTGATTTTGGCTCAGGTCGTGATCTCACGACTCGTGAGATTGAGCCCCGAGTCAGACTTCATGCTGATAACATCGAGCCTGCTTGGGATTCTCCCTCTCTGCCCCTCCTCCACTCGTTTGCTTCCTGTCTCTCTCAAAATAAATAACCATTACAATTTTTTTTTTTTAAAAAGAAAGAAAGAAAGAACATATAAAACCCAGAATTACTAGTTGTCTCTGGAGACAGACCTCCCCAGAGTTGAGGGACAGGGACAGGGGTGGAGGGAAATTACTTATGACTGTATATCTTTGTGCTGTTTTTGTTTGTTTTAACCATATATATCCATTAATGCCATATGTGCATTGTGTGTGTGTGTGTGTGTGTGTGTATAATAGCATATTTTTAAAAAAACTGATAACAATAACATGAAGCCCAGGTGGTTGAGTGTCTTTCTCATGCAGTGGGGTTTTCATTTTACCTAGTGTCCTTGGGGAATGAATTTCCATGAAAGTAAGATTTCCAGACATATTACAGGAATCAAATTCTTTAAAAACCTTTTTTTATTTTTTTAAGGAAGCCTACATAAAATGTATAATATTCTTCCATATTTTTTCAGGTAAAGAATGTGGAATGTGGGTGGACATTTCCTGGCTGGCCCTGAGGCAAAGGGCTCTCTGCCCCTGCACTAAAGTCCCCTCTCTGCTGAGGCTCTCATCCCTTCTGCTTCCATCAAGTGTCACCTCACATGCAGCACGTGAGCGCGCTGAGACAAGAGTGTCATTTCCAGCCTCTTTCCAGGCTGTGGAGCCGGGAGCCCGGGCTTGGGGGCAGACGTTCTGGATGTTGTGATGTGTTGCTCACACACTGATGGCCCTGGATGGGTGGGGCCCTGGGACATTCTGACCTGCAGGGATGTGGGCACCTGCCTCCTTCTCCCTACTGTCTCACCTCAGAGCCTCTAAGGTGGCCTCGTGGGCCCGGAAAAGGTGTGAAGCTTCTCCGAGCCTCAGTTTCCTTGGCTGTAATAGAGAAGTGAGGTCACAGGCCTCCCGCGCATGGCTTCAGTGATGACAGTGCCTGGGGCGGTGCCTGGGGCGGTGCCTGGGACCTGCCTGGGATGCAACCACACATGGTCCCCATTTTTGCCCCCAGCCTCCCGTCCCGCTGCCTGGCATATTCCAGCCAGACTCAGAGGCTTTGGTTATGGGAGTGTGGTCCTTCTAGGTTCCCCTCTGCTGTCACTCGGCTGCCGAGCTGAGCAGTTCCCAAGGCCCCCCCGATCTGGGTTGGGGCAGCCTCCGGGAAGCATGACCGTCGAGGCCTTACCTCAAGGATTTTACTACATGCCAGAGCTTTTTAGAGAAACGTTTGCTGATATGGTGCTATTCAAGGCCTCCCCCAGCACCTCCCGCTCCCACATGCTCTCGGACACCTTCCCTGGCAGGACTCACCGCCGTGGGAAAGGGAGAGCCCAGGGGGGCGGTGGCACAGAGAAGAACCATCTGGAACGCCGGCCCCACGAGGCTGAGATCCCACACTGGCTTCGGCATTTACAAACCGTGCCACCTCGGGCAAGTCACTTCATCTTGGTCTGGAACCTCGGTCTCTTCGACCGTAAAATGGGGTGATGAGAGGAGACTCCATTTCCTGGACTTGCGTCGGAGATTAGCAAACTGATACGCACGGCGTGCCCAGCGCCGTCTGGCCCTTGCGTGTGCTCGGTGGCTGTTGAGTTGAGCACGTAGTTTATGCTGGCCCGGCCCACCGCCCTGGGCTAATTGAACCCAACCCTGATGCCATTCCATTCACCACACCGAGGCTGCTTTGTACGGGCCTGCCCTCCTCAGCGGGCCTGGTCGCAGGGGCGGCTGGAGCTGGCTTGGCCAGACCACCTGCCTGCAGGCCAGAGGGCCCCAGGGGCTTGGGCTGAATGTGCTCCTCCTGCCTCCCCCGCCTGAGGTCTCCACCGCCTGAGGAGACTCCACCGCCTAAGGTCCTCAACTGTTCCTGGAGCCAGGCCAAGCCTCAAGAGCCTGAAGAGCCCAGGCTGGAAGCAGCCCGGATCCTGCGTGGAGGAAAGTCCTCCTGGGGAACCATCTGACTGGTCAGCTTTGCGCGTGTAGAAAATTCTCCATTGGGTTACACCACTGTGACTCGGGGGATTTGTTGTCACCTCGGCATTGCCTCGCCTATCCTGACTAAAATAAGGGTACGATACGGAGCGGAAGACGGTATTTATGAGACTCGGAAAGCGAAAACATGAGGCTTCTAATAAGTGGCTGCTTGCAGCTGGCCCCCTTGGGCCACACCTACAGACTTCTGACCTGCCGGAGTCGGGGCTGTATTGTACCCCCAGCACCGCCAGCGGTAGAGCCGGTGACCACGGATGCTGTAACGGCTGGCCCCAGAAATAGCACAAAGCAGATTTAAAGTACCGGCAAGGAGTTGCAAGGCGGAGTGTTTCCGAGAGGATCTCCAATGTCTCATGATTAGAACCAAGCAAGAAATGAGGCCAGCTCCAGCCTTCAACCTCCCTCCCCAGCCCCCGCCCCCCCCAAACCATTCTGTGGCGGGTGGGAGAAGTTGGTCTAATCTGGGCAAGCCCAGCACCTTCTTAGGCCCTGGTGTGAACCAGTCCAGAGACGACGCACGTCTTCCAGGGGTCCAAGTGGCTGGGGTGGTGGTAGGGTCACAGCTGGCCAGGTGGCCCGGGGAGGATGCTGCTGTGGTTGTAACTTTGAACAAGGGTTTTCTCCAAGGCCCCCAGCTTTGTCACCGGTTTAAAAAAAAAAAAAATTGGAAGTGATGATGATGGCATTTGAAGCTCTTTCCTTACCTGCAGCGTCAATATAGAAAACAGCCCATGGCTGAGATGCACTGTGGGAACTAGGTATTCCACTCCTGACCTAAAGGCCCCCTGGGCTGCGCTGGCTTCTCCTCTTCAGAGTCCCTCCCAGAGGAGGACGGGGTGCTAGCTCACATCCCGAACTTGCTGAGCATTTGGGGCAAAGCCCTTCCCCTCTCTGGGCTTCCCTTGCTTTATTGGTACCACTGATACATGGAATGTAGCAGCCAAGGATACAATATTAGAACCAAGTCCATTGTGTATCGGAGACTTGGGTTTGAGTCAGAGGTGGGGACTGAGCCCTGAGGGGCGCCACCAAATGCCCAAGGGCTCCAGGGGGGAGAGGCAGAGGTATGGAAAGGGCCCTGCAGCCTCGATGTCCCCACTCGCTCCTCCGAAGACACGTCTGGCCGCGGCTGCAGAGAGCCAAGGCAGATGTAGCGTTTTGGGTTGCTGGCTGCCCTCCCAGCAGCTCTGCCACATGGCTGAGCTGTGACCTCCAGGAGTCCAGGACCCGCGGCCGACCTACAGTGAGAACGCAAGGAATGCATAACCCCTGGGTGTTTCCTAAAATGGTGCACCCGGGGTCCAAAGAACAAGGGAGCTCCCTGGACCCAGAGCCTGCCTGCCTGGCCCCCTCACTGTGGAGGGGTCTCAGTGACATGAGTGCCTCTCTGGGGCCACCGAGCGGTGGGGTTTTCACGGGGCGGAGATCCCCATGTAATTTCAGGCGATCTGCTTTTCACTTTCCCCGGGCGGTGTGGAGTCTGGGAGATGTTCAGAGCAGACATAGGCTGCTCCCTTCAAGTCCAGAGGAGCGGTGGGTCCAGGAGGTGCCCTGTTCCCAGGGAAGGAGCCACCATGCGAGCCGGCAGCACCAGGAATCACCTTTTCGGTGCAGCTTGAATGGCTCAGTTCTCTGGGGAGGCGCCCTGCCTCCCGCTTCCCCGTGAGGGGGGAGCTTGTCACGCACACCTGCTCAGCTCCGCCCTGCAGGCAGTGACTTCTGCACACACGGGGCTGGATGGGCCACCCTCCCTCCCGGGGCAGCTGTCCCTGCCACAGAGTCTCTGACAGGTGGCCAAACTGGTGGCACATCACTCCTTCCCTAAGGGAGACTGTCTGCAGCAGATCAAAGGTTGGGGGATATTCCAGACTCCTCCCTCCTTCTCCCCTAGGATCTCACAGTTTACTGGAGGCAACGTTGAGCTTCCCAGGCAAACAGGCACCATCAGGGGAGAAAAAAATGTAAAAGGAGCTCTCTTCTTGCCAACTGCCCCAAAATGAGCAGGTTTTGTCCACCCCGGTGGATTTGCCGTGAAGAAGTATCACACGGAAGAAACTGTCAATACTTCGCAGCCGTTTTTACAATGAGCCTGTGTTTAGCAACACTCAGCTTTGTTTTATTATTGCATTTTACGAAGTTACCAAGACGACTGAGGCCAAGTCACAGAACCTTGACTTTATGTGCCATGAAAATTTAATAAAGAATGTTTAAAGGCTTTTAAGAGGCAGGAGTTTCAGCCTCGCAACAGAGCCCTGCTCAGAGGGAGGAGGGCTCCAGCGCGGGGCCGCTCGTCGGGCCTCGAAGGGACTCTCTGTTGGGGACATCCAGGTGGGCCCAGGTTCCCTGGCATCCGTCTTGTTCTAGACACTTATTAAGGTAGTTCCCAGGCGCCAAGCCCAAGACGGGTTTCTTACATTCATTACGACACAGTTGCCACCGTGGGGGCCAGAAAGAGGGCAGAGGGGCGAAGCCGCAGGTGCACGGTCACACAGCGAGAGAGCAGCAGGTCCAGCAAAAGCAGGCCCTCGTGTCCCTGTTGTGAGGCAGGTGGTTCTGCAGGGAAAATATCCCTCCTGACTTCCTGCATCAGCAGCCCTGGCCTTGCGCCCGCAGCCTGGGAAGGCCCCAGGGGAGCCACAGTCAGGCGCAGGCAGCGTCCCCGTGGCCCGGGACCGCGGTCCTGGTCAGAATCCTAGCAAGTACCTTCACATTGGAGGAAATGTTTCCCAGGAGTCCCTTAGTGAGTGCATTATGTTACCCCAGGGCCTGCACACAGCCCTTTTCCCTCTGCTCGCTAAATAAGACTTAGAAGGAAATTGCCAGAAATGAGAAAATCGTCAGTAATTTTGCCATTTTATACAGAAGCTCCATGGTGCTGTGTGTGTGTGTGTGTGTGTGTGTGCGCGTGCGCGCGCGTGTGCGTACCTGTAAGCGTTGTGCTGCATGGTTTTCCTAGTTAAATAAACACCAAGACTTCTGGTTACTAGAGACGGAGGTAACGGGGTAGGCTAAGGGTTCTGCAGAGCTCCTTTGTGCCCGGGAACAGAAAAAAAAAAAAAAAACCTGTGGATTTATTTCACGAGGGAGAAACTCACATGCCATGTGGGAAAATCCTTCTCACATTCGTCAAAGCAAATAGGAGGCTGGCAAAAGTTATCAACTGAGGCGAGGTGGATTTTAGGTTAATTGACCTCAGCGGAGGGGGGAGAGGAGGACGGCCCCCTCGGCCACCAGGAACACCAGCTCCCCGATGAGAGAGTTCATCATTTCTGAGCTTCGAGGGAAGGTGCTCAAACGCCGGCCCTCTCAAGCCCCAATTTTCAATTATCGGGCCAAGGAGTTTAGGACATTAATCGAGAAGTGAAAAAAAGAAGGAAGCTTTTTTGGCGTAACACTCTGCCGATCACAAGGCAGATTCTAGGTGTCGGAGGCACAGCACAGGCCATTTTTCAGCCTGCAGACTATCTTAAGCGTAAGGATGAAGGGCAGGTGGCGGGGGGCGGGGGGCGAGGAGCTGTTTTGGCTTCATTTGTCTTGACGGATGACAACATTCAAGAAGGAAAGTTTTTCCTTCGTCCCTTCACACTTCGTAGGAAGCCGGGGCGGGCCGAAGAGAGCATGGCATTTGAGCAGCCCGCTGGTTTGCAAAACACTTTCGTGTATGTTTGTGTTGGCTGTGTCTCGTCTTAGTTCCCAGGGACCAAGCGAGGGAGTGCCTGTCACCCCCTCGTGTGGCCGAGGGACCTGGAGCCCGGGAGTGTGGTGGCTCCCAGAGCCCTCCTGGGGGGCTCGACATGGGAAGAGGAGGTCGGCAGGCCCACGTTGAGGCCCCAGAAGCCTGGGTGTGAGCTGAACAAGCCCTCAGCCTCACACGTCTCTGAAATGGGTCCCAAAGCCTCTGCCCTCTGGGTTTTGAGAGCGCCGAGTCTCTGTGCAGAGCGGGCACGACGCCAAGGAGGGAGCAGGGGGCCTCACGGTGGGTCCCCGCTCTGCCTTTTCTCCAGCCGCGAGCTTGGGCATCGGTGCCCTGTCTGTGAAGAGGGTGATGAGAACCCCCATCCCTCGCCGGGTTGTTGGAGGGTCAGAGGACAGGATGGACGTGCCGGCACTTTGTAAACTGTGAAGCACTGAACAGATGTGGTTCAATTCACGTGGGAAAACGAGTTGGTTCTAGAAAGGCAGAAACGCCATTCCGAATGTCTGGGCTCCTCCGCAGACCGGTCCTACCACCCCCCCAACCATCGACATTCACATTCACATGGGGATTATCTACTCAGCTCTCCAACCCCACACAGACGCAGGGTCCTGCAGAGCTGAAGAGAAGGCGGGACACCTGACACAGGACCCCTGTGCGCTTGCCCCAGCCTGGCGGGCCTTTCTAAGGCTGAAGAAGAGGGGGTGCCCACCGGGGGGCACTGCCCACACCTGAGCCCAGGACAAAGATACAAAGGACGACGGAAACACTACCCGGGGTGAGAAGGGCCATTGTCCGCTCAGGGTCATGGGGCAGCCACCATGCTGGGGACACGGAGGTATTGAGTGAATGGCCCTGGCAAGGTTTAAAATGCCATGATTGTTAAGGGTGTTCACAGGCTCGGGGAGGAGGAGCGCCATGACCCCACTCATCCCCTGGGACTTGCTGGATATTTGTATTGTTTCAGCCAGCACCTGCTAGACCCCCACCCCATGCTCGGAGGCCTGAGTGAATCTAGCACCTGCCTGACCCGGAAGAACTCCCAGCTTGGTAAGGGCGAGAGCCCTGTGATGCCACGGGGCAAGCATGGTAATAACAGAACTTTCCAGATTCTCACAAATAGACGGAGGGAACAGTTCACTCGGTGTGGGAGATTGCAGTGGGGCGTTTGAGCTGGACGTTGAAGGTAAGTAAGTGTCCACTGGACGGAGGGAGGCCGTCCAGCACAAGGGCGGGAGAGCCAGGAGCAGGTCCTGGCCCTGGGGCAGGAACCAGCACATTCTCTTCCCCAGGGGCAACAACACACAGAGAGTGCCCTGGGAGCATGGTGACGGGTGGGGGCAGAGGCCTTCCCCGGAAAAGCGTGGACCAGGCACGGCTTTAGGATGAAGAGGAAGGTCGGGGCTGGATTATGAGCAGCTTGAACGTTGGGTTAAGGAGCACGGGCTTTATCTGGGCAGAGATGGCGGCTGAATTAGGGGACCGTGTGATCGGTTCTGTGGTTCTCCGAATTCCTTCGGGGCCACGAGGGTTGGAGGACGGAGGACGAGTTGAGGGGGATGAGAGGCAGGAGGTGGTGAAGTCTGAGCCAGGGAGAGTGGACGGGGACCCTCAGGAGAACCAAGAGGGCGCCTGTTTGGGGGCGGAGGCCCTGCCTCCACGCACTTGCTAACAACTGCACTGAATCGGATGCACCTACGGCAGGCTCCCCTCTGGCCAGGCTGTGGGGACACAGCTCCCGGCTGTGACAGCAGAGAAGCCAAGCACATTTCCTAGGAGGCTGGAAGGAGGGCAGCAGGATGACCAGTGTGGAAGAGAAAGGGAGACGACCGGTGCACCGGAAGTGACAGGTGTGGCAGGAAAGGCTGGGGTGGGGGCCAGACCCAGTGATGTACCCTGAGCTGAGACAGGCTGAGCCTGATCTCCATTCATTGGACCTGCTCCAGAAAGCTGGCCCTTCGGGGACCTCAGCCAGAGGAACAGTAAGGGCTGATGTGGCTGGAGTGCGTGCACGTGTGTGCATACGTGTGTGTGCGTGTGTGTGAATCTGGGGGAGGGGGAGGAAGGGGGACTAGGGGAGAAGAGGCCCGGATGGATCCTGAGGGCCCTACCCCAGAAATAACACAGGTAGAACACGGGGCACTCTGCTCCTCATGGGGCGTCTCTGGGCCCCGGATCCCTGTCTCCGGTTCCCCTCTTCCAGGAGAAAGGACGTGTGTGTCTTTGCTATATCACTTCAGCTGCACCCTGAAACGTGAGGGGTGTGGGAAACAAAGGGGGTGAGTAAGTGGGGCTTCCCATAGGCACCAAGGAGGCGGGGGACATCTCCTGTCGCTCACTCTGGTAAGGGAGCAGCATCGAATTCTTCCTGTTGAACAGCATTGAGCAGAAAGGGCCCAGTCTGTCCCTTACTGGCCTCTTGTAAAATGGCGGCCTGGTTTTCCCGACATTCACCCCGTGGGGTGCAGGTCTCAGGCCCTGCCTGCAGAGGAGGGGCTCCTTCCAGACAGTGAAGGGTTGAGCAGAGCCACCTGCCTGCATGTGACCTGCAAGGGTGGGGACAGGACATTCCTCACTGTGAGAACTGACATGCTCAAATCATCCCAATGTGGGTCGGTTTCCCACCCCCCCCCCCACCCCCCCCAATCCAATGTGTTTGGTTGATTTTGGAACTGAAAACTGCACTCCATTTTGGCAAGTGAATGCTTTCTGGAAAAAAAAAAAAGAAGAGTTGTGTTGAAAAGACTCTTTGCTGCTCCCAGCTGCTAACACGTGTGAGAGACTCCTTCGCTGCGAGGCCCATTTGCTCTGGCAACAACAGGGACCGAAGATCGGGGACGAGGCCTTCAAAGTCTGCTTCTCACAGCAGACCACTTAGAATCACTGATTGTCCTGGCCCATGTCACAGGGCTGCAGGAGAGCGGGCAGGGCCCCGGGGTGGGGGGTGGGGAGGGCAGGCAGACCTGGAGCAGAGGCGATTGGAACTTGAGTCACGCTCACCAGGGGACATAAAGGAAATGGGGCTCAGGGGTCAACCAACAGAACTGGACCAAGCCTCACTCTCCCACGGGACCCCCCAGGCCGGCCTTTGCTCCTCTGAAAATGGGAACAGCGTTACAAAACTACCCGAGCTGATAGCTCTAGAATGTCCCTATGCAGGGGCGCATCAGGTTCCTCCCGCCCCTCCCGTCTTAGGCCACCTGTCCTGCTTTTTTTGCTTGGGAAACAAGGTCATCACAGGTGGCTCTTGTCACCAAGCAGCCCGGAGCGAGTTCTGCGGGGCTTGGTTTTCCAAAATGCCACCTTTGGCTGCCTCTGAACCTTCCCCTCTGAGAAGGGGTTCTCCTGGGGACACAGATGGAGACAAGGAAAGGGTCTCCTGGAAGGGGGGATGTGGGCGCCCCTTGTCCTGAGCTTCTGACACCATGCTCCCCCTCACACCGGCCCTTAAGGGGCTTTTCTTGTCCTCCCCTCGGGAGCCCCTCCTCCCACCCAGGGGCCCTCTGGCAAGTGCCTGCCAGGCACCTGCCGGCCAGGTGATGGCACCTCATCCGTGTGGGGTGAGGGGGTGCCGTCACAAGACCCTGGGACTCCTGCTTTGGGGTCAAGGTCAAACAAAATCAAACAAAATGACCTCTGAGGCTCCTGTCAGCCCTGAGACTCTAGGAGCCTTTACCTAGTTACTTCTTGGTTAGTTCTTAATGAATAACAAACCGAACATGACAGTGACAGGCAAGCTAATGAAATAAATGAGGCCAGTCTGTTAACTACACCCGGGGAGCACGCGATCGGGATGGGAGAGTCGGGCGTGCCCACACACTAGCTCCACTCGGTTTTCACAGCACGGTGGCAGGAAATCAGCGTGATGTCCCCGGGAGTTAACCAGTGTTCTCTCGGAGGCCCCGGCAGACCCAAGTCTCAGCTCTCTCGAGTTCTTTCCTCTCCGCAGCTCGGGCTCAGGATCGCTGGCGCCCCGTGCCCCGAACGCAACAGTTTTACCCCGGTGGCTGCTTCCTGTGAGCCCAGAATAGAAGATGCCATCTGTCGCGTTTGGGATGTCATATGTCCACCGATGACTCACACATAGTTGGACCACCGAGAGGAAGGCGGGCGGGTGCCATCAGCCCGTTTCAAAGCACAGCTCAGCAGAACATGGAGACGGCATGTCAGGCAGGGGGCTGTCCCGCCGGGGTTCTCCGCAGCCTGCCCTCTGTCCACAGGCGGGGAGCACAGAGGGTCCTCTTCGGCCCCGGAGGGCTTACCCTTCATCGGCAGCATCGAGTGGCCATCAGGACAGAGCGTGTCTGGAATGTGCTGCCTTGGGGGCGCTGTTTGTGCAGGACGGGGGGTGGCCCTCCACTGGCGGGGCCGAGGGGGTGGCGTCCGGGGGGCTGCCGCTGTCCAGGGGCCGGCCCCCCGCCGGGCCGCTGCGGCCACACACCAGGCGCTTTTCGTCCAGCAGGGACAGGTGGTATTCACATAGGTCGATCAGCGAGGCCACCTGCTCGTGGAGCGGCAGCGTCTTGAACTTCCTCTGAGCCAGGTAGAAGAAAGCCTCCACGAAGGCCTGCAAGCACATTCCTGCAGACAGAGAGACCAGAGTTAAGGGGGGGGGGGGGCAGGGGTTGTGTGCCAAAGGGGCCCACACGCTGCCCAGGGAAGGCGCCGCTCCAACCACCAGGCTCCTTGCTCACCACCATTTCCGTCCCGGGAACTTTAGTTTCTGGGTTAAACTCCCAGAGGGCCTGCCTTGTGCCAGGCACCAGATGGGCGTTCACAACCATCTGCGGAGTCGACCCCTTCATCAGTCATGTGGAGGAGGCTCAGTTAGCACTGGTTTACAGACGAGGAAACTGAGTCTCAGAGAAGCGGAGCCCGCTGGGCAAAGTCACACGGGTAGGAGGTGGCAGAGCTCATACGCAGCCTGGCCCAAGGCCTCATCCCTCTGTGCCACCATAAAACATTCGAGTCAAAACCCAGCCCTTGACGTCGATAACAACGGGGAAAGTTTGCTCCTCAGAGACCCCTGACGGCGATGCCCTACATGTCGATAGAGGTGTTGGTTACGTGGGTGTGGGGGCCTGTCACACACTGTGCCTGAAGGTTTGTGCGTTTTGCTGTATGCAAATTTTACTTCTCTCTACCCTTTCTCTCTCCCCGAAATGATATTCTAGAAGGTCATGGCAGTCCCCACTATGTCCCTGAAACGTTCTTCCCTTACATTGCCTCATAAATTCCTACTCATCGTTGGGATCGGAGCTCAAAATCCCCCGCTCAGGAAAAGCTTCCCTGATCCCCAGATCAGACGCGGCCGCTGGGACGGGCTTCTAGCCCTTTCCTTTGCAGCTGACGGCGGCCTGTTCGGTGTTTATTTGTGTGGTCCTTCCAACAGCCTCTCTCCTCCCGGCTGAGTTGGGACCTCCAGCTCACCTCTGCTCCCCCAGGGCCAGATGCCCAGTGCTCAATATACAACGCTGAATACATGAGTGAATGAGTGGATGAATGAACAAATGGGTTAGTGCTAGGTACTTTACAGACATCACCACTAATCCTCACAACACCTTTTTGAGATCAGTGTTATTATGCCCCGCTTTGCAGATGAGGAAACCAACATTCAGAGAGGCTGAGTAACTTCCCTAAGGTCACGCAGCCAGAGAATAGTGGCCTGGAAATTCAAACTCTGGCTCCCAATTCTTTTTTTTTTTTTTTTAAGTTTATGTGTTTTTAAGATTTTTTAAATGTTTATTTATCTTTGAGAGAGACAGAGAGAGAGAGAGAGTGCGAGCAGGGGAGGAACAGAGAGAGAGGAGAGAATCCGAAGCAGGCTCCAGGCTCTGAGCTGTCAGCACAGAGCTCGATGCAGGGCTGTAACTCATGATTGTGACCTGAGCCAAAGTCGGAAGCTCAACCGACTGAGCCGCCCAGGTGCCCCTGACTCCCAATTCTTAATAAGTGGTACCACATACAAAGCTCTGACTCTTTCCAATGTCCAAGCAAAACTGAACCCCATGACCCAAAGTCAGGGGATTGCCTGGACTCCTCGGGGAAGGTGACACTCAGGCTGGACGGAACGCCACAGGCATTTTAGAGGATGCTGGCTTTGCCTCTGCTAATCCATACCTTCCCAGTGGTCTTGCTCCCCTGCTTCTGTCCTCAGGCAGAAGCCTGGCCTGGAGGCTTAAATACTGGATTATAGATGGACCCTGGGATCTGAGAGCTCTTCTTGTGTTGGGAACTTGAGCTGAGCAAAGTTGTTTCTTTGTCTCCATCCGAATCCATCCAAGCTTTTTTGCTCAGCTTTTCTTGGCTCCAGATGCTCTCTCCAGGGCTCTGTTTGGCCCTGACAGGAGGAGCTGATAAAGGGAACAGGGACCCTGGCGTAAAACCTTCTTAATACAAACAGAGGTCTCGTGCAGAGAGACACAGGGAAAAGGGAGCTTCCGTCTGAATCGAGAAACAGGGTTTTCCTAATCACCGACAAGGGGCCAGGGCTCTCCTAGAGTGTGAGCGTGGATGCATGCGTGTGCACCTGTGTGCATTTGTGCATGCATGCTCGTGCGTCTGTCACAGTCAGCGGGAGGGTCAGACCCAAGCAGGGTGCAAGGGGCCAGGATCCAAAGCCAGAGAAACCCAATGCAGTCCCAGCCTCTCATTCCAGAACTGTGTGATCTCGACAGTGCTACTCAAAGTGTGGACGGCAGATGGGTGCCGAGTCCGGGAACTGTGTGTCCCCGGTCTCTGACAAGATAAGGAGCCTGGGCCAGAATATAAATCACCCTCCTCATCAATCACATTGTTTAGTTCAGCTGGCAGTATTTTGTAGCAAGTCTTTCTCTACAAAGGAAGCGGCACTGGTTTACATTTTGGCTCAAAGCCTCTTGTCCAGGACTGTACAGAACAGTTCGTGGATTGCAACTTTGAGCCGCCCTGGTCTACACACCCCTTCCCCGCTTTAATGCACATGACACTGTGGTGCCTGGATGGCTCAGTCAGTGGAGCATTTGACTTGGGCTCAGGTCACGATCTCACGATTCGTGGGCTCAAGCCCCACACTGGGCTTTGCGCTGACAGCACGGAGCCTGCTTCGGATTCTCTCTCTCTCCCTCTCTCTCTGCCCCTCCCCTGCTCGTGCTCTCTCTCTCTCTCAAAAATAAGTAAACATTGGGGCGCCTGGGTGGCTTGGTCGGTTAAGCGTCCGACTTCGGCTCAGGTCATGATCTCACGGTCCGTGAGTTCGAGCCCCGCGTCGGGCTCTGTGCTGACAGCTCAGAGCCTGGAGCCTGTTTCAGATTCTGTGTCTCCCTCTCTCTCTGCTCCTCCCCTGTTCATGCTCTGTCTCTCTCTGTCTCAAGAATAAATAAACGTTAAAAAAATTAAAAAAAAATAAGTAAACATTAAAAAACAAATTTACCATGCATGATCTTGTCAAAATGCAGATTCCGGGGTGGGGCCTGAGACACCGCATTCCCAACACGCTTCCTGGTGGTGCCCGCGTGGCTGCTCTCTGGAGCACAGTCTGAGTAGCAAGCACTGAATGCGTTTTACTCAACGAATATTAGTTTCTTTCCCTTAATTAAACTAATAAGGCTACGATTGAAGCAGTAATGCACAGAAAAAATATAAAGGACCTTTTTTGGGCGAAAAATATGACTAAATCATCTGGAAGGAGACCTTCTAAAATGAGAAAGGAGACATCCTATGTTATACTGGGTTTTGTTTTTGTTTGTCTACATGTCCTGATTTTCTCGAGTAAACACATACCTTATTTTATTTATTTATTTTTTTGTGGAATCTAAAAACAAAACAAAATGAATAAACAAACAAAAAGCAGAATGAGACCTATAGATACAGAAAATAAGCTGATGACTGCCGGAGGCGGTGGGGTGGACAAAATGGGTAGGAGGGGAGAGGGCAACACAGGCTTCCCATTATGGAATGAATAAGTCACGGACCCAATTTTAAAACGTGCAATGGAAAATTCTAGGAGGTGGAAAGAGGCGAGGCAGGGGTAGCTGCTTTTCACTGTGAACCTTTTGCTACCACTTGAATTTGAGGTTATGTGCATGTATCACTTTGAAGAAAACACAATGCCACCTTCCTGACTACATGTTCTGCTTTGATACAGTTTATATACATGCAAGGAAAGTAGAACCAGAGTGAGGAGTAAGGGACATTACTGACTCTTGCAGGAACCAGGCTTGCTGTGCGGGGTGCTCTGACCCCACTACGACTCTCATTGTGCCTGTGAGAAAACAGAGGCCCAGAGAGACCAAATAACTTGAGCTCGGGTTACATGCCGATAAGGGCAGCAGGGCTGGGATGGATTTGAACCGGCCTCATGCACTGCAGGTCCTGAATTTCATTCCTGGAATAAGGAATGGGCAAAATGGGTAGGGCTTTGATGGGCACAGATGAGCCGGAAGGGGTGGGCTGGGCCGAGAATAGGGAGGAGGGACGAGGAGGTGGGGCGTGTGGCCCCAGTGATGGCCCCGGGCACCTGCCGCAGGACAGGTGGGGAAGGGGCAGCTGGACTAGACCGGAGAGGACTGGAAGGCCAGGGGACATGAGCCGGGAGCCACGGAAGGGGTCCGAGGAGAGCGAGCCGAGATCCAGTGGCAGAGTCCCATGCCTCGTACAGCCTGAGCACATTCTCCGGTCAGGGGATGCCTGTTTTGTACAGTGGAGTGTGTTTCTTGGTTTTATTCCTCGAACGCAATCCTGTGAGGTGGGTGGAGGCTCAGAGCCCTGCCCTGACAGACCTCCCTCACCAGAAGGGACTCATCTAAGGGACTCTTGTCTCTTCATACCCAGCCGAGCACCATCCCTCCCCGGGATCCAAAAGCCCGGTCTAGCAACTTCCTTTTACAGAAGAAGGGAGTGGAATCGAGGCCCAGCATAAGCAGGACTAGGACCCCAGGTCTCCAGACCTCAAACTGCACTACCATCACCAGCACCAATTTAAGAAAGCAAGCCAGACACTTCTCAGGCCAGGGACAGGGGAGAAGGGCTGTCTACACGGGCCGAGAGCCCCACTGAGTATGTCTGAGAGAGCCTGAAGGCCAGTGAGGGTTGGGAAGAAGAACACCCCACACTGCACACCATGCACATGTGGGTCGCAGGTCCCCACAATGGCCGCCTTGAGGAGCTGAGTGTCTTGCTCCTCATTTTATCAATTGGCCCAGGAAATGGCGGCCGGACTCAGCTCGATATTTGCTGAGCTGCAGAGACTCGAGCCTTTGGAGGGTTCTGAGGGACTAGGGGTGGGGGCAGGAAGAAAACAGGAGGAGGAAATGCACTTAAGGTAGTCCAAGTGGCCTTCCTGGGGTAGGGCTGCCGAGGTTCCCACCTGGCTGGACTCCCCTGCCCTTTCCAGATCCTCACTGACAGTCCACATGTTCCCTCTGGGGCTTTCTCCTTCTTTCCTTTATTTTCTTTCATTCATTCATTCTTTTGGAGAGAGAGAAAGAGAGAGAGAGCGCGCGCTCAAGATTGGGGGAGGGGCAGAGAGAGAGGGAGACACAGAATCCCAAGCAGGCTCCAGGCTCCGAGCTGTCAGCACAGAGCCTGATGAGGGGCTCGAA